GTATTACTCAGCAGAAAAAAACAATGGAATCTTGAAATTCGCAGGGAAATGGATAGCACTGGAAGAAACCATCCTGAGTGAGGTAACCCAGTCGCAAAAAGACAAACATGGTATGTACTCACTCATATATGGATTTTAAATATGGATCAGGATAGTGCCAGTCTGCACTTCCACAGATAGAGAGTCTGGGAAACAGGAAAGAACCTAAAAGATATGCATATTTGCATAGTACCCAAGAGAAGAGGATGGAGACAAGATCCGCTGAATGGATGGGGAACAGGGCGGGGGGGGGTAGTGGGACCTGGGAAGAGTAGAGGGGGTAAAGAGGAAGGGAGTTGGTCATGGGGGAACAGGAAGTTGAGGGGGTGGGGGTAAAATAGGGGGAAGAGGGAATCATAGGATCGAAGACAGATCAGGCACCAGAGTGACCTCGAGTGATCTAAAGGTATAACATCAATTGGCAAGCTAAGCAATAGTGGAAGGACCACCTCGAATGCCCATTCCTGATAATGAACTTGATGTCTATAACTATCCGGGAGCCTTCATCCTGGGACTGATGGAAGCAGAGGCAAACACACAACTAAGCACTGAACTGAACCCAAGGAACCCAGTGACAGAGAGAGAGGAGTGATGAGCAAATTGGCAAGGAATGGGCTGGCAAAACCAGCAGAGACGGCTGATCTGAACAGGGGAGTGCTCTTGGACCCCAGACCGACAGTGGGGAGGCCAGAATGGGACTGATCTGGACCCCCCAAATGTGAGTGTCAGTGAGAAGGCCTGGGCAACCTATGGGGCTCTGAGCTGTGGATCAGTGTCTATCCCTGGTATACAATCTGTCTTCATGTGCCTATGGCACAAAGAGAGATGCTCTCTCAGCCTGGACTCTTAGGGGAGTGCCTTGACCCTACCAAGAGTGAAATGATAGACTCTAGACATCCCCTATGTGGAGGGATTTGGCAATAGGGTGGGAGGGAGGGTGGAAGGGGAGTGCGGGAGGAGGGGAGGGAGAGGGAACTGGGATTGACATGTGAAACAAGCTATTTAAAATTAAAATAAAAAATGATTAAAAAAAAAAAAGCATTTGGATGTGGATGAATCATAATGCTGTTTCCTTAGAGCAGACAAAAAGATTTATGACGATGCGCAGTTTACTGCCGCAGTTCCGGTATGACTAAAGATGACAGCTTCTCATCTCCAGATGTGGAGATGCTTATTCTCATGGGGAAAACACAAAGCAACCTCTCATTCTGTAAGGAAAAAAGCCTTTCCCCCAAATCACTGCAACTACCACTACTAGCTAAATAAAAGGCAATGCAGTATGTGTAACTTATCAGTAAGATGTCATTGAATACTATTTAGCTTTTAGATTTAGTGTACTTTAAAAATTATTTATATGCATATGTGTCTGTTTGTGGATATGTGCATATGACTGTGGATGTGCCTAGAAGCCAGACACTTTCTATAGCTAGGGAACTGGAGTTACAGGTGGTTGTGAGCCACCTGATATGGGTGCTGGAAACTGAACCCTTGGGACCTCTGCAAGAAGAGTATGCACTCTTAACTACTGAGTCATATCTCCAGCCCCTAATATTTCTTTTAAAAATAATGTTTATTCTGTAAAACATGCCTAGCTTCTGCAATTCTCCTTTTGCTCTCTTAAAAAGGGTAGACTAAACAATAAAGGCTCTATTGGTATCAAATGTTGGGGTAATTCAAGATAATTTGCTTAGTAGGAAGGAACATTAGGGACTACCCTCAAAATACACATATTAATTTGTCTGATACAATCCTAATGTTTATGCCTACTTAGGGATAACTCACATTGAAATCCTAACTTACAAGATGATAGTATCAGGAGGTAGGGACTTGATGACTTGATTAGGTCATGAGGAATTTATCTCCATGAATAGGACTAGTGCCACACAATGAGGGGATGCCATTTGTAAATGAGAAAGCACCAGACACAGAATCTGCCAGTACCTTGATCTTAGACTTGCCAGCCTTCAACACTGTGAGGAACAAAATTCTGTTGCTTGTAAGCCACCCACCCTTATGGCATTTTGGTGTAGCAGTCTGGACTATGACAGTGCATCGGAGTTTATCTTCCCTGAAATCAAGTATAATAAAAATCACTCTCTGTGACAAATCCTGTCTCTCCATAGCAAGCAAAGACATGAGACGACTATCTAGATCATTGACACTGAAAAAAATACTGTCGCATGATTGCTTTAAGTAATTACAATTGAACAGATATGCCAGTCTCAATTCCCATAGTGAAATTATTCAAACAGATACCTCAATTTCCCAAAGTGTTTTTAACATTCAATTTTAGGATAGAACAGAAATCATATCTTGTATACCCTCCATTTTTTCTGGTAAAAAATCTCTTCCTCTGCCCCATAATGAAACTTCACATTGTGACTTAAGACATCAAGGGGAGATTTTCCTGTAAGCAATGATTGGGGCAGAAACATATCAGACAGAAATCTGGTTTTCTGCTTTGAAATTATCAATTCTGGAAGACAAGCTCTATTCCCCTCCCCTCTTTTTGTTCAGCAATCAAACCCAAAGCCTCAAACATATTAAAAATACTCTGCTGTGGAAATATTCTTATTTTTTTATTTTTAAGTTTAAATTTAGATTAGAAACAAGGTTGCTTCACAAGTCAGTTCCAGGTCCCTCTCCCTTCCCTCCCCTCCTCCCGTGCCCTCTCCCCAACCCACCCATTATCCCCTCATTTCCCCAGGGAGGGTGAGGCCCCCCATGGGGATGTCCATAGTCTGTCATTTCATCCAGGGCAGAGCCTAGACCCTCCCCCAAGAGTTCAGGGTGAGAGTGCATCTCACATTGTTGGATGGGAGTCCAATGTCTGTGTGTATACTCGGGATGAATACTGATCTACTGCCCAAGGCTGAATAGATTACCTAGGCCTCTTCACTGACACCCACATTCAGGGGGTCTTGATCAGTCCCATGCTGGATTCCCAGGCTGATGCCTGGAATTCAAGAGTTAACCTTTGTCAGGCCAGCTGTTTCTGGGGGTTAAACCAGCCCAGTCTTAATCCCTTTGGTCATCAGTCCCCCCTCTCTGTTAGTGCTTAGCCATGAGAGTGTGCATCTTCTTCCATCAGCCACTGAATGAAGGGAAACATTCTTATTAAGGTGATTAGAAATTTATGACTTATTGTTGTCTCAAAGTTGTATCATTGTAGAATTTGGTTTATTATATTTTAAGTATGATGTAATAATTCTGGAGCAAGAAAAAATGAATATTTTTGACTCCACAAAGGTCTAATTAACAAAAATACGTAGAATGGATGAGACTTCTAAATCTGTAGCAGATGGAGTCAATGTGATGAATCATGTATGGCGGCAAAGCTTGCATTCATAATTTAAATGTCGCTGGACCGGCAATATGGCTGATGGGAAAGGCACTTGCCACCAAGCCTGATGATATGATTTAGAACGTTGTCCCCTGATCTCTTCACACCTACCACGGTGTGCATACACACATATAAGTAAATAAATGTAATTTTTAAAATTCACTATCATAAATGTTCAAGCCATTTGATGTTTACTGTAACATTAATGGCCCAAAGTGTGGTGGTCAAGAGAATAGAACATTTTTTAATAAAAACTATCTTTCGTCTTCTGACATGTTATGTCTACATTTTCATATTTTTCTAATGTCTAGGCAATTTATCAGTCAAGAAAATAAAGACAGGGCTGGAGAGATGGCTCAGTGGTTGAGAGGACTGCCTGCTCTTCTGGAGAAAATAAAGACAATGTGCATATTCTGTTTATATTTTGTAATAGTAACTTTTTTGCATTTCTCATTCAGTACTCTTTTTTCTCTTCTATTTTTTATTTAAGTTAGAAACAAGCTTGTTTTACATGTCAATCCCAGTTCCCTCTCCCTCCCCCTTCCCTTGCTCCCCCATCCACTGAACCCCTATCCCATCCCCTTTCCTCTCCCCAGGGAGGGTGAAGCCTTCCATGGGGGATCTTCAAAGTCTGTCATATCATTTGGAGCAGAGCCTAGGTCCTCCCCCATGTGTCTAGGCTGAGAGAGCATCCCTCTATGTGGAATGAGCTCCCAAAGTCCATTCGTGTACTAGAGATAAATACTGATCCACTGCCAGAGGCCCCATAGACTGCCCAGACCTCCTCACTGACACCCACGTTCAGGGGCTGTGGATCAGTCCTATGCTGGTTTCCCAGCTATCAGTCTGGGGTCCATGAGTTCCCCCTTGTTCAGGTCAGCTGTTTCTGTGGGTTTCTCCAGCCTGGTCTTGACCCCTTTGCTCATCACTCCTCCCTCTCTGAAACTGGATTTCAGAGTTCATCTCAGTGTTTAGCTGTGGGTGTCTGCTTCTGCTTCCATCAGTTACTGGATGAAAGCTCTAGGATGGCATTTAAGGTAGTCATTAATCTCATTATCGGGGAAGGGCGTTTAAGGTAGCCTCTCCACTATTGCTTAGATTGCGTCATCCTTGTAGCTCTATGGACATTTCCCTAGTGCCAGATTTCTCTTTAAACCTATAATAGCTCCCTCTATTATGGTATCTCTTTTCTTGCTCTCCTCTATTCTTCCCCTGACTCAAACTTCCTGCTCTCTCCTGTCCTCCTCTCCCTTCCTCTTCTCCCCTTCTCATTCTTCTAACTCCCTCTCCTCTCCCCCCCCACCATGCTTCCAATTTGCTCAGGAGATCTTAAAAATTATGATAAAAATAAAGTAGAAGATTATGGTTCACATTCTGGTTCCAAGGCTCTCCATACAGGTCTAAAATAAAATAAAAGGAATCTCTAGCCCCCAATCTTCAGAGTTTGTTTCTCTGCATGATAAATAGGGAGAGCCACTTGGAGTATCACATAAAGAATGATAGAGATACCACATCAGGTACCATCTGAGAGTGACTTTACTGATAGATATACCTGCCATGCTGGCTAACTGCTCAAAAGTAGAAAGGGTGAGAAGTAACACCCCACAAACATTGTACGTTGGTTGTTCAAAATGCACTTTTTATTCACTTTGACACATGAATTTTTAAACAACTGGAACAATATCTTATACACATTTTGAGATGTTTAGCAGCACCTGCGGCAAGAGGACTGTGGAATACCTCAGGATAAAGTAGAGTTGGCTGAGGCAGATACAAATACACCTGAATTCATCAATCCACTGAAGACATATGGTACTTGAGGCCCCTTGAAAGCCAATACGTGGCAATAAACTAAATAAATATTTTTGTATGATGTTTTAATGGACTATTGAAAAACAGTATGCTTCTAATTAGAAATACATTTTTCCAAAAATCTAGTGTCCATTAAAAAACACCTATTGAAAATATTTCACTGCACATTCTAGATACATGATCGATTTCAAAACACATACGCACAATTCCTGGTACCACAAATGTCAGCTTTTGGTGTTTTTAATCTTACCAAAACTATATGTCAGCACCCACTGAGTGTTACTCACAAAAATGACACTGTTTTGTCACTTACTGTTAAGTGATTGATATTGTAAAGTAATCTGATAGAAAAAAAAGTGTATGGCTAAGAAGAAAGGGGCTTCAATGTACCTGCCACTTACATTAACACTTGTCTCGATGGACAGGATGCCTGTGAATACCCATGTACTTTTATTTTTACTCAAATGACCACATGCCACTCTACAGAGACAAATAGTTTTGTGAGCTGATGATGGAAATCTTTATGAAGGCCTGAGATCTACAAATAGAAACTATTATCAGCAGAGTGCGAATAGAAAGAGAAGGCCCCAGGTCTCATGCACTTAAAAACAATTACTACTTATCAACTCTGACATACAGAGTTTCACCCGAACATGTTTGTAGCAAAATGACTGTAGAACATTAAAACCAGTGTGGCTGGCTATAGGCATAGGCAGGATAGGAACCTATATTTAAGAGCTGTGGGGGTCCCCGTTCTGGCTTTGACTTCTGGCATTCAAATTAATTGGACAATAGGGTCAGGACTATGCCATAATTGGAAATACTGAATACGTCTGGGTTGAAATACTGTCCTCCTCTTGTCTATGTGGCCAAAAAGTACCAGAGTTCTTAAAGCACATAAGGTCCCACATGTAAGGCTGATTCCATGTCTGGCTACAATGGAGAATTCTAGGCTGTATTCCTGTGAATGCTCCCACCCCATCCTGGGCCTAAATCTCTTGGGGGAAGCCTTGTGTAACTGTCCCTCTCTACAGTGGGTCACAATTTTTAGCATACACATTTTAAAGCACAGATTAAAATCTATGCGGATCAACCAACAAAAACCAGACGGCACACTCATCATACAGCATATAATTGGCAGTCATGGTATTCAAAATTTGTCAAACCATTTTTGAACATGGTGTCTTTGGAATATTTTAATAGTAGTTGTTAAAGGCTAATCCCAGAATGGCTTGAGGATTTTTAAGGCCCTCTCTATAGTCTTAGTTATCATTTTCAGATAACACCAACCAGAACATGGCACTGATGAGTTTGTAAATTCCGAACTTAAACCTAAAGGAATCTTATACCAAACATGTAGCCAACACAGTAATTCTTTTTGCAGTACTTGAACAGATGGCTACGTAGTGACTACGTTTACTGGGAGGGAGCTCACTATTAAGGCAGTCTATTCCACTTTTGAACAAATCATGAGGAATTCATTCTAACACAAAGTTTTTAAAAATCTGCTCTTTTGCCAGTTTTACTGTCCAAATTTGGCCAGCTGTACACTTGGTGAGACATCCCAAGCATTAGACCCTTCCTCTACAACACACAACTGAGTGAAGGGACCTGTGAGAAAAGCCCATTACTCTCTAACCTTTCCTGAAGTCTTCTTCATGAGCCAGCATGGTGGACCATAGGACCATCTAAATTGTAGGCAGAGAGCACGGCACCTGAAGCCACATACTAAGCAGCATTGCTAAATTGATAAGTTGTAAAGGAAGCAACATCTCTACGCAGCAGCAGTAGACGTATGAAGGAAAAGCAGGCCAACCATGTATTTGCAAAGGGAGTTGGCATATTTAAGCGTAACCCATTCACTAGTGTCCTGTGACTCACACAACATGGATTAGAATCAACCTCCAGTGTCATTAGAGCAAGTCTTGTTGATATGATTTTTAAGTTCATATGAGATTAAACCATACATAAGGATTTGAACATATCAGTGTGTATTTTTATACATCTACATCCCTAATCATCACCACCTTTGTCTAATTCATGCATAGAAATCCTTGCTTCCATTGTTATTTTTGCTGTAATACAGCTCAGAATCTTCTTTTTCCCTTTGGTAGAAATGCCATAAACTGCTTGGCAGGAGTCTGGTGGTGGCATCTGCTAGCTGGCTAATGGAACACTTTAAGCTCTTTCACTCCTTCATGCAGTTGGGTTCTAGGTTTAAACCTTGATTTAAAAATACTTAAATCTCTCAGGACTAAAACTTTCTGAAGTGTCCCGAGACACACAAGAAAGGAAAATAGCAGAAATCACACAAAATACACTTGGCTCAATAAAGCTTTTTTGTTAACTGCTCTACAACTTCAATTTGAAAGGTTCTGTTTCAAAAGTAGAACCTCATCTTTTACCCTGGCACGCTCATGTGTGTGCGCGCGCGCGTGTGTGTGTGTGTGTGTGTGTGTGTGTGTGTGCATGCGTATGCGTGCATGTGTGCGTGTGTGCGTGTGCATGCGTGTGTGTGTGTGTGTGTGTGTGTGTATCTGTACTACCAGAGGGCACAGTGGTTCTTACACTATGAACTAACCAACTTAGTGCACACTTCTGAACAGAGTCCCTAAATCTAACAGCATGAAGAACTTGCTTTGGAACCACTGTTCAAATCAATGGTGTGACCTAACATGCAATGTTCCAGCTGTTCCTCTACAGCTAACACCTGCCTAACAGCTTCTTCAAAGGCCACTGTCACATTAGTATCATCTTTGGCACTTGTTTCTAGATAAGGGTAATTCCCATTCTCCATGCACCAGGCTTGTGCCTCCTCGGTCGTCACTTGCCTATCCTCTTTGTCTACCTTGTTACCCAGAACTACAAAGGGGAAGTGCTCTGGGTCCTTTACATCTGCATAGTAGATGAATTCTTTTTGCCAGTTACCAAGGTTCTCGAAGCTCTGCCGGTCATCCACACTGAAGGTCAGCAGGCAGCAGTCTGCTCCCCTGTAGAACGGCGTTCTAAGGCTCTTGAAACGTTCCTGCCCTGCAGTGTCCCAGATCTGCAGTGTCACAAAGCGTCCATCTACCTCCAGATCTCGATTTAAGAACTCTACCCCAATAGTGTGAAAAGCCTGGGAGTCGAACTTGTTGGTGACATAACGGTTCATAAGTGAGCTTTTCCCAACTCCACCATCACCCAAGAGAATGACCTTTAAGAGAAGGGATTTCCCACTCATTGTTGCAGCACCAAACAGGGAAAAGCTTGCAAACAAAAGAACCTGAAAATGTAGGAAGGAACATAGTTAAACATGAAATAAATCAACGCCATAGAAAATTTCCCCGAATAATGAGCTTACATGATCATTATTTAATTTAAAACAGGGAAAGAGAGAAAACTCTTTTAATAAAAGAGGGAAAACTGGTCTTGGTTTTCTGAGGCTTCTTACCTGGATAAGGAATGGCTGAATGTCATGAATAAACCAACTAGCAGATGGCTCCACAATTTGTTCAGTTCAGACACTATTCTAGGTGAGAGAGCCTAGAACAGGCATGCCACTCAAATGTGTGACCATGTTAGTTTCCAGTTTGGACAGTTCCAAACAAGATGCTAATATGAAACTTATTTAAGGTTTAATGTTTGTTTTTGAGGTACCTAAGTGTTACTGGAAGGTATATAAGATGTATTCTTGATTCTATCAGTCAAGATCTGGGTCCCAATTGAACTGGACTCAATAATATGTAAAAGAGAAAAAAATCAACTTTCTCTAAGCATTTACTCCCCTTACACTTGCACTGAGATGGATACTATAATAAGGAATGGATCTTGTATAATTTTGTGTTCATGGTACAATGACATTTAAGTTTATGACAGTTGGCTAATATCAATATAACAGGTATTATCCTGAAGAGGATCTTATGGGTTTCTTCAATTTAAGTTTTAATACCAAAAGACCAATATATGAAAAGTCATGATAAAACCTAAAGCACTCAGAATCATGTAGCACTTTTCTTGTTACCTACACAAAATATTTATACATAGACTACCTAGAATACATGTTAAAATAAAATATTCTCTAAGGTACTGTCACAATTGGGTCTATACTGGAAACTCAAGAATGTTGATATTAATTGAGCAAGGTAATATTTATGCAAGAGCCTCAAAGGAAGGAAACCTAAACACTGATCAAAAAGTATATGCAAAAGATTCTAAAAGCACACATATTTGACGGGCGGTGGTGGCGCACGCCTTTAATCCCAGCACTCGGGAGGCAGAGGCAGGCGGATCTCTGTGCGTTCGAGGCCAGGCTGGACCGATAGCCTCTGAAACAATACAGAGAAACCCTGTCTCGTAAAAACCAAAAAAAAAAAAAAAAAAAGAAGAAGCACACATATTTAAAAGGTAATTTGAAAGTCATAATAGTCTTTAAAATTATTTTGGAATTGTTTTTGAAATTATAAATATTCACTTTTTAACAAAAGAAAATGTAAAATATCAAAATTCATTGCAATATCTCATGAAATACTTACCCAGCTGGGTTTTTTCACAATTCAGCCTTCTCCTTTGTCCCTCTTGGTGCTTTATTCTTTTATTAGGGTTCTAAAACAGAATGGGAAGAAGATTTTAATAATCTATAATAAAATGAAAATAAGTCTTTAGAAAAAACATATTCAATTCAGGGAGAAATCCCATAGCAATCTCAAGTATCCTGTGGCAAATTTTCACGAATACACTTAAAAGTTCAAAATGTTGCAGGTGTTTAATGTGATCAAAATAATTTTATTACCCAAACTTCAATTTATTCTAATCTGACTGTACTTTGTGTGATTTAAAAAACTGTGTTGTCTTTCTGCTGAATGCTCTATTTAAAGTAAGAATAAATAAAAGCACGTAGGTGATATACGGAGAAGTGATATCTGGGAGACTGAAAGCAGAAGAGTTTAAGATAAACCAGAGACAACTTTCCTTCCCTTTATACCCACAAACACTCCCACTTCAAGCCCACCCGTGCACCCATCAATCTGCCTTGAGGTAGTCTGCTCATGATCAAAGAAGAAATCATTTATATGTGTATGGACCCACAGTATACTTTCTTAGATAATTATTTTATTCACTAGTTGATGCTATCTGTCTTGAACCCAAGATTTTGTTTGGTTGTGTTTTGAGACAACTCTCTGTATGTATTCCAGATGGTCTGGAGCTCACTAGGTAGCTTGAGATGGTCTTAAACTCCCGATTTTCTACCTCAGTCCCCCTGGGTGATGGAGTTACAAGTATTCACAACATTACCTAGCTTGAATACAAGTTTTAATATTTAGCTGTCCTTACTACAAACACATATTTGCTTAATATTAATAGTTAATTGTAGCATATATTAATGAAGCAAAACTAGAATAGTGTTCCAAAAAGACAAATAATTCCCAAGCTTGTTGAGTATGTTTATTGAGGAATAAAGAAGCTGTTTGAAAAACAGCTCAGCAGCTTAATTATCTTATGCTGTTTTACAAAGCCAATCAGGTATTTATTGAACATCTAAATCAGTAGCTAAAATGTAAGCAACATCTCCTTCTCAGGCTAAATCTATTCTGTAGAAATTAATTTTTCTACCATTTCTTTTCTGCTTTCAAATTCTGTCTTTGGAAGTATAGCTCAGGTGACAAATTTTTCTTGAAATGAGGGTGAAACAGATGTGTTAGGACAGGTTTTAATTCTCCTTTCTGTTTGGTTTTGCTTTTGATATACTGGAGAGGGACACAGGGTCTCAGTGGGCTAAGAAAGTCCTATACCATTGAGCTATGCTTCCACTTCATACTTTATTTTTAATACAAGCCTACAATATAATTTTACAGTTCAAAAGTCTTTAACTCTCATTTTAAAAAGCAACGTAAGTAAGTACAAATGGGTGTAAACTACAGATGGCTATAAGTAGTAGATACCAAATGACTTTCCTTAAGTACCTAGAAAACAGGTGTTAGCATCATTAAATAATTCACTAATTCTACTTCCCCAGCTGTGGATCAACTGCCTAGATGGCCAAAAACACACTGATTATGGAAATAAATGCCCAGCTCCAGGAATAATGATCGGTATTAATGCCAATCTTAGAATTCTCTAGTTGGTAATGGGCACACATAACTCTAGGTACATAAAGTTTATGGTGTGGGGAAAAGAGGCAAAAGAGGGTCCTCCTTGCTGCTATGCCAGTCATTTGTATTATGGAGATATTGGCTCCTCCTTGTTCTTTAATATGTAGCAATGCCTGCTGAGCATCTGCATACGACATAGAGTCCCATTGTTGAAGGGATCTTCAGGAGCTTCTGGTATAACACTTCCAGTGATGTTTGAGCAAGCACCGAGTGTCTACCGTGTGCTGTGTCATTACCAAGGCGATATTCTACACCAGCACGTCTCAACCTTCCTAACGCTGCAACACTTTAATACAGTTCCTCATGTTGTGGTGACCCCAACCATAAACTTATTCCATTGCTACTTCATAACTGTAATTCTTCTACTGTCATGAATCTTAATGAAAATACCTGATATGCAGAGTATCTGGTATGTTATATGACATGACCCTTGTGAAAGGGTCATTCGACCCCCAAAGGGGTCACAACCCACAGGTTGAGAACCACTTCTCTACATTCTCCTCTACCATATCCAATACTCATTTATTTGTTAAAAGTAGAAAGATAATATAGTTTAGGTTGGTCTCCTTGCCTTTAGTCACTATATCCTGCTGACTTCTGCCTCCATTTTAAAAATTAGAATGTCAATGTGTTGCCCAGGCTGGTTTCAGACTCATGGTCTTAAACCATTTATCCTCTTTTCCATTCCACACTTCATTACTGGCATTCATCACTGCACATGGTTTTGCTGCCATTTGGCCAGTATCTTCTCACTCTACGTTATGAAAATCTTTAAGATCTTCTCTGCCTGCCTCTGGTTTCTCCTCACGCATTCTATTTTTGCAAAGTTTTAGCACTTGCACACCCAATAGATGTAGAGATGTTTGAAATGTTTAAGGTAAGGACTTGCCCATAAGGAATTTACAAATAAACAACTAAGCTTCGATTTCACAGTAGGGACTGAGGGTGGAACTCTGTGGTAGCAGCACTTGTCTAATATGTATGAGGCGCTGGGTTGGATCCTCAGTGGAGTTCTATTTCACACTAGAGAAAGACAGTAGGATAACCTGTTTAAAGCAATTCATTATATGTTTTAAAATTATCAGGGGAGGGCCTACCTCAATTTATAGAGTATTTGAATGCAATGAGTTTGACCCTCAGCATCGTATAAAACCTAGGATGGTGGCAGATATGTATAACTGTAGCACTCAGGAAATGGATTCAGGAAGATCAGAAGTTCAAGATCATACTCAGCCACAGGAGGTCAAATTCATTCTGGGACACATAAGGACTTGCAGAAAGGAGTGAGTGCTTGACAGGTAAGGAAAGGCAATAAGAGAGTGCCGGAGGCGAGAAAAATCAGAATGCATCCTATACCTGTATGAAATTTTCAATGATCAAATTTAATAAAAATTACTTGGACATTTAAGAAGGAATAAAATATTTTCCACTGAGTCCCTTATAGTAAAAAAAAAACAGAATATGAATTTCCCCAGCACATAGAAATGGTTAATATTTAAGGAAATGGAAGCAATTATTACCCTTCACTCATTATGCATTGTATATTTGTATCAAATGATCATATTGTACCCCACAGATATGTTCACCTTTTATGTCTCAATGAAGCATCTCATTCTTTGCAGTTGATATCACACTGCTTGGTGTTGTTAACAGGTTTCTTAAAAAAAACTGTCTTTTCTACACAACTGATTTAAAGGTCCTTTATTTGTGTGTGTCTTTGAAGCTTGTTCAGCATGTGGTCCCAGAACCCATCATAGAAATAAGCAGTAAGTATTTGATAGGTATCCAGAATTAATGCCTTGGAATTTATGCTAGTTGATCCACGATTCTGTAAGATATCTGGATGCTATCATGTATAATGTAACTGAAAACACAAATTATGAATTTATCTAGTTCCCTTTCCAGACAGGACCTAACAGAAATTTCACCTGTTGAAAGTCAATGAAAGTTTTTCCATTTCCCTCTTGCTACACTCACATTTCAAAATAAACATCTATTTACAACAGCATCTCCAGTCCTACTAAAAACAAGAGAATAATGGCACCCATTTTGTTTTCAATGGATTCTGTCATCCCTGTTACTATGTTTGAAGGTGAGGATGATTCACATTAGTGCAAATTCAAATTGAAAGGAGCTATCACAGAATAAAAATCAATGAAATCAAATTCCCTCCCCCAGGAGAAGCCAAATTTAATCCAACATAAAAAGAAGAAAGCATTAAAGCAGAGAGAAGACTTTTTGGTAACAACAAATATATCTAAAAGGAAGGTGAAATCCAGTATGGCTTCCGTATTACGCTAGTTCTGAACCAAATATCTTTCTTTTTATTTTCTTTCCTTTTTTATTTTTTAATTCTCGGTACTGGAAATCAAACCTAGGGCGCTGTGCCTTAAACACTCCACCACTAAGCTGCACCTCCAGTCCTTGGACCATAATATTTATTCTAATTTTGGTCCCATTCAGAGAAATATCTGGCTTTGACTCAAATATTGTCTTGAATAATAAGATGAATCAGGAATTCATATAACCAATATTATTAGCTCTCTATTCTTCAGTGCACTTGAAACCTTTTGAATCAGCTATGCTTGCACCCACACGGGCTTATTAAAATCACCGTATTTAGTTGGGGGTGCTTGAGGCTGGGAGCAGAGGGAAGAAAATAAAGAAAGGTTGACCCTTTTAAAATAATGCATTTTATTGTGATTACGGAGAGAAAAGAGGCATAAATGCAAATTGGCGTCGTCAGTTCAGTTTCCGTGGGGTGGAACGGTGCTCACAATCAGCAGCGCAGGTTGTTTGGGAGCAAGTCTTGACAGGGGTGTGTACTGCAGGGCTTGGTGGGGGAGGGAGGGGGGCTAGACAATGGATGAGAGTGGCCCTGATGGAAGTCTGCACAGGGGAGCTTGGAGCTGTGAGGAAAAGCCTACCTTGTGGCGACATGCTGATGGGGGCTATTCAATTTACTGTTTAATCCTGAAATATGATTCAGAAATACTGCACTGGAGAAAATGGGTGTGGCTTTCTTTAATGTATGTGAAAGTCAACACAAGCAAGAAATGATTAATTTTTGAGACCCTCTAATTTAAATGATGTAGGTTGCTTCCCATACAACCTGATGCTGGAAAGGGGGTGTTTTATGGCGGGGAAGCTCTATGACGCATTCAATTTACTTTGCAGAGCTCAGTTGTCAGCTACACGCATGCTACAAAGTCTAGATGCCATAGCTGTCAAGCCACTGAAATGCTGTTCCTAACTTCATGGTGACATTTGCATCATATATGCAACTAAGTGTTCAGTGTGGAAATGCATGTCTAATCTTTCACTCCTTATAACAGTTCTGGGCCAATAAGCCCAAAGATACACTTGATAAAGATACACTTGATAGAAACTTGGCACTGTCCCCAGGCCACGTCTTCCTTAATAGGCTGCCTGGAAGTAAAGGTTTTCAGGACACTAATAAAACGTCCTTAGGAGACCAGTAATGTTGGCATCTCCACGCCGGGAACACTGTTTTAGTACTGGGAACTTAGAAAGTGAAACGTCATGCATAGTCGCAACTACCTCCAACCCAGGTCCTCTCACCTCATCCTTAGCTCCTAGAGCCAGTCGACTGTGGCGCATGCGCAGTGGGCCACACCCGCTCCCCACGGAACCCTGCGCCTCTCTGCCCCTCTCTGGCAGTCACTCCAGATTACTCAGCAACGCCCCCCTCCACCATCACCTACCTACGACTACAACCTCAGCAGCTTCTAGGTCCCTTTACAGAGGTGCGAGTGGCCCTGGGTATGACCGAAGCTGCCCTTTCTCCCTCTACCCACAGGCCTCCCACCTCCTGGCCTCCCGGGTCCACCAGCCCTAGCCCCCTCTTCCTGCCCTCGCGCAGACACCTTACCCAACACAATGGGAAGGAGAAAGGACAGGGCTGCAGATGTCAGGCAGCTCAGCTCTGCGTGCTTCTAGTCTGGCTCCTCAGCGACCAGGTCACAGCTCGAGCTGTCGCCTCGTCCTCAATGGGGCAGCAAGTGCAGCTTGGACCTCGGTGGCCTGACAGCTGCCGCTCGCTCCCGCTGCCGCCGCGCAGCGTCTCGCGCGCCCGCGCCCGCCAGGAGAGGGGGCGGGGCCCGCGCCGCCTCCTCGTGCCCCCTTCTTGATGCTGGGGACCCACTGTAGTCGCCTTCCCGCCGCCTCTTGTGGAGAGTGTTCCCTGGCTGGCTTGCTCTTCCTTCCTGCTCAGTTGTCTAACCAGGGTCTCCCTCATCTTTCTTCCCCTCCCAGCTGATTAGAAGTCACAGTGACAATGGACCATTAAATAATTGCTCTCGCAGTTTAGCTTCTCTTCTGCCTAGGGCCCAAAGTCTCAGGCAGAGCTAGCTCTAGCCTCATGTCCTGCAATGACTCTTCTATTTACTTCATTTTCCTAAGAAACAAATCTTTCATTTCTTTTTGGATCTACGTGTTCTGTGTTGCTTTTGTGCCAAGAGGTTAGTACATACACCTTACTTCAAATAATACAGGAAAACACACGATCGCAACACATTAGTAGGCCCTGTGGGTGCCTGTTGCTCAAGAGAGTCTCATGATGCTTCAAAAGGAAAGATTGACATCTGTAACTCCTCCACAGAAAACACACAGCCCTTTAGTTATCAATTACTATTCTAGAGAATCACAGACAGCACTACTTGAGGTTCCAGAAACTGTTCCAGGAACTGTTACTAGGGTAGAATTCAATGTTATGATTATACCTGGTCACCAAACTAGGCCCTCTTGGTTTCTTGGGGTCCTCTGGCATCTTCTGCTACTTTGTGATTAACCTGCTACTTTGTGATTAACCTCTCTACCCTCATAACCAAAGGAAAACAACTGAAATAATTTAAATAATTTAGCCTGCACCCCATCTATTGCTCAGTTACATACATGTCTTAAGCTTCACGGCTCTCTGAAGACCAACTCGTACGGGACTACCCTCCCCAAATGTTCCTCACACACACCATCTCTCTCTCCATCTACGCCACTCTCTCCCAATCTTTTCACGAGGCAAAACAACGAATCTCAGCAAGGATCTGCTTAAATGCCACTTCTAAGGATAGCCTTTCTCCATAATCCCATAATGAAGACAGTGCCTCAATTCATCTCTTATAGCCTCTTGTAGCTTCCTGTGATTTATTTCACATCACAATCATATAATGTGACATATATGTATATATATATATATATATATCATACTTACTTGATTACAACTGTCTCCTCCACTGAACTATAGGTTCAGATACTGTGTTTAAGTTTACAACTATATCCCCCTAAAGTAAGATGCATATTATGCACTAAGAAAGTATTTATTAAATATGAATGCATGATGTATCACCAATAAATGTTGCTATTTTAAATAAATGAATCTAACCCTAACTCTAACTCTAACCCCAACCCTAACCCCTAACCCTAACCCTGAATTCATTCACCAGTGCACCCAACCAACCTGTTAGATCCAGGTTTGATGAGAGCCCTTGTCTCAAAAAAATAGTGGTGGAATGTCATTAGGTCCTGAGAGTGGGACCCTCAGCAACGAATTAATTATGATCTCACAGAGTGGGTTGAGTCTCTCAGGAATGAGCTAAATGCTATGGTAGTGAGATAGTGATAAAGTAAGGACATACCATGCATGTACTTGTCTCCAGTATGTCCTTTTTGGCTTCTTCATCAAGTTCTTACCCATCCAGGGACCTCTTATCAAGATACTGGTGACATTTGAATTCTCTATAATAGTTGATGAAAACAAGCATCTTCACAAGTTTCACAGCCTCAGGTATTTTGGTATAGGAGTACAAAATGGATTAAGGTCTAAGTATTTGTGTGAATATCTTTAACTATATATGTATAATATTTGTACATACAAATTTTCTTTACTATGTGTTATTTTATATATACATTATAAAACACACACACTACAAAAACACCCCAACACAGAAATTTTAACAAAAATAAAAAGTAAATATGCTGATGTTACATTTATTTTCTAAACTCTAATGAAAAGTTTTGTGAAGAGCTTCAGACATAATAATCTATGCTCATTTGTTTCCCCAGAATTCTGTTTTATGATGGTTTTAACAGTCTTTAAAATCTCTCAAGCCTAAATGAAATTGTTAAAAGCTTTTTTTAATTTCTAGGTTAAATGCCTAGTTCTGTAGTCAGGATCTCATGACTGCTAAAGACATGACACTGTTGGAAAGCCTAGGGGTAAGCAAAACCTTGTGTTAATCCAGAGACTCCTAAATGCAAATTCTATATTTAACACATTTATATAGTTCTTATAAGAAACAAAGAAGTACATTTTCATGACTGTGAACTAAGCAAGGAATTCTTAGATATGATACCAATGATAAGAGATAATTTGATTCCTTGAAGATGAAAATGCTCTTTATGCCTCAAACGACACATCAAAGTTCTCCCTGAAATAACCACCTCCACAATACAGAGACTGATTTGTGCAGCATTACCAACAAAAAGTTTAAATGCTGGGCTTGTTAATTACTTTGTATCGTGTAACATTGCTCCAATTTTCTAATTTGTAAATGTGGGAAATAGTAACACTGTGATGATCATATGAACTTACCCACATAAGAATAAGTGTCTTGGACTTTAGTAACTAATCAAGGAATGTTAGTACTGTTAACATCATGGAAATATCTCGGACATTAAATTTATTATGCTTTTCAAAAAATAAGACACTCTCAAGGGGTTGGGGTGACCTTATCATAAAATGAATGGCATGAAACCATGAGTAGATAAAATCAGATTCCTAAAACCCATGTAAAGTGCAGGGTGTAGACAACGGTAGTGTGCATCTGTAACCCCAGCAGAGGAAATCAGAAACAGACGGTTCCCTGGAATTCATTGACTAGTGCACTCAGCCAATCTGTTAACTCCAGGTTTGATGAGAGTCCTTGTCTCAAAAAAATAGTGTGTAAAGCAACCAAGAAAGACACCTAAGGTCAACTTCTGGCCTTCACACACATAAGTGCACACACTCACGTGAACAGAGAACTGCACACACACACACACACACACACACGATAGTAAATAAAAATATTTTAAAAATTGAAACCTGCTGAACATGGTAGCCCATGTCTTTAATCCCAGCATTTGGGAGGTAGGAGCAGATGGGTTAGAGGTCAACCTGGCAAGTGCACCATAATCCAGGCAAGTCAGGGAGACCCTGTCTCAAAACAAACAAAAGAACGTGAGGTTTTAAAAAAATAAATGAATAAAAGTAAGCAGATAATTTGGGTATGCTTTTTCCAAAAGCTCTACAAATGATTAGTGAATATATGAAAAAGTCTTGGAATCATGGATCCATAAGGGAATACAAATTGAATTCATAATAAAATGCCATACCACACCTACTAGGACAGCTGTAATTAAAAAGTCGTGTCAGGGGCCTGAAGTAGTGAGAACTTCTTCAGGGGCTTAGTAGTGAGAACACGTGATGCTCTTCCAGAGGATCTGGGTTCAGTGCCTAGCACCAATATGATGTCTCAAAAGTGTATGTAACTACAGTTCCAGGGTAGTGAATGGCTTACAAAATACAATGCGTCTCCACAACGGAATAATATTAAATCACAAAAAGAGATAAAATGGGGATAAATGCTATAAATGAACTTAAAAACATTCTACTAAGTGAAAGAAGACAGGCACAAAATTTAATCTTATATTATTCATATGAAGTGCTCATATATGGAAATATACAGAAACAGAAATAGGTTACCAATTACACAGTACTAAAGAGTAGACTGAGATATTGACGTTTAACACTAATGAGTACGATATTTCTTTAGAAAGTGGTTAAATTAATTGTTGTGGTGATTGCACAATTCAGAAATAATTCTAAAACACATTTAATTGAAGACTATATAAAATATCTGTATGTATTATTAGTATGGTATGTGATTTATATCTCAATAAAGTTAGAACTAAAAATGCGAGGAAGAGAATAAAAGATACGGAAGAGGAATGTTTAACAAAAAGTGCAAAAGAATCCTAAATAATATCCTATAGACCTCTTTAAACTAAGCATCATCTCCCGTGAATGCTGCATTAAGACAGTAATAACCTTCTAAGAGATATATCAACCTATTTTAACATTATTTCCTTCCTACAAACATCAACATCTTCATTTGAATATAAACTTAAAATCTATAATATACTACCAGGGAAATTCAAGCACTAGGCTATATATTTTATAATATTAATAACTGTCAATTTTCTTTCAGTTGTCATAAAGATATTGTAGTGACACTTTAGAAAGAAAGTTCATCTTTTAAAGGCTTCACTGACGTGCATATGGATTATGTGATATGATTGTCATCTGATATTTATTTAAAATAATATGGTGGTGGAAGGGAAGGCTTAGATAAAAACTGACTGGACATGAACTGAAGCAGCATGATGGGCTTATACACTAACTTTCTATACAGTCTTTTCTTTTTTGTATGTTTGAAAGGAAATTATTTCATTCTTATTTGTCCCATCCTACACTTTTATGAACACCTCATGTTTTTTTTTCTCTAGTACTTTAATGTTGGTTTCTTCTAAAAGATGGACATAAGAATTCAAGTCTCTTAAAATGTAATCATTCTCTCTAAGAGGATAAACTAGGCATGAACATACTGAAATTGGTTAATAGACTTCAATCTCCCTTAAGGTTTCTGGAGCCTGAGAAATGAAATACAATGTCTATATCTTGCGCTTCACTACAGGTCCTCTATCCTTTGAAGTTCCGCTAAAGTAGAAAACTCTTTCACCTCATCTCTTTGGAACTCACTTCATAGATTGCTGCTTTGAACATGCATGTTAAAGGCTATCTAAGCTAGTGATTCCTAAACTAATTGCACATCAAATTACATAGAGGATTTCTCAAAACTACAAATTCCTGATCTGTGACCTTGAAACCTCTGTAGTAGTGCTCAGGGGTCTTTATTTTCAATAAGTTCTATGGATAGCTCTTATATAGGCCACGTACGTACATTTAGGAACTATGGGCTTCATGTGTCCTCTTAGCAATTTTCAGAATCCCCTCCAACAATTTTTGG